GCTGTGGTGAATACCTGTGACTTTAATAACTTTTGGGAAAAGCCAATATCCAAGGCAACACATTCTGAGCCCTGAGAGTGCTTTCAATCTTGATAGATAAAATGAAGTCTTAGTGCTAGTCTTGAAGGAAGCTGCCAGGCAGAGCAAGCCCCGCAATGACAATTCTAAGAGTGTTAAATCCAAATTCTTATATCTGACATTATCAAAGTAGCAGTTTTGTTTTGTTTTGTTTTTTGGGTTTTTTTTCCAAGTTATGCTATAACATTTTGACTAGATTCTAGACTTCTCAAAAAGTTGATTCTGACAGACTTTTTCAGGTTCACTAATTGCTCATCATGAGGTACTGGAGTTCCATATTCTCATTCTCTATCATTTTTGGTGATGTTACCTGCCTTTGTAGTTTTTGTTTTTGTTTTTGTTTTGATAGGGTTTCACTGTTGATGTCCTCCTATTCCAGGTTCCCAGTTAGACCCACAGATGTGCACCGTGATACGCAACTCTCTCTTTTTCTTTCTCTCTCTCTCTTTTTTTTTTTGGATAGAATCTCATTATGTTACCAAGGCCAGCCTTGACCTTGAGATCCTCTTTTTTTTTTTTTTTTTTTGAGGTCCTTGCCTTAGGGCATGGGAGCTTGCTGGGGAGAGAGAGAGAGCACAAGATCACCCTCCCTCTAGGGGGATGGCCATATTATAATCCTTTCTTCTCCATTATCCTGCCAGGATCTTGGGCACACATGCACATACCTGGCCTGAGTTTCAAGCCACCAGGACTCCAAACACAGGCAGCCATGTCAGAGTCCAGCAACATAACTGCAACACTATTTGCTGGCCTTGAGCTTGTGATACTATTGCCTCAGTCTTCTGAGCTGTAAGTACATGGCATGTTCCTGTAATACTAGCAGCTCAGAAGACTGAGGCCTTTATGTACTTACAATTTAACTTGGACCTCCTACATGGTCTCAGCCTGTGGAGCATAGTGTCTTAGCAGTGCAAACTACCACTACTGGACCTCTTTCTAGTTCTTTTAAAGTTCATTTTGGTAGTTTGTATATTTCTTGTTTGCATTTTGTCTTATTTGTTGCCATAGAATTGTTCATAGAATTACCCCTATAATCCTTTATAAATCTATAGGGTTGGAACTGATGATCCCTCTTTCATTTTTGGTTTTAGTAATTTCAACCTTCAGCCTTTTTTCTTGGTCACTCACTCTCTTAAAGCTTTGTTAGTGTTTCTTTCATTAGAGATTTTCAAAGAACCAAATTTTAGTTTTGTTGATATTTTGTGCTCTATTTAATTTCTTTCTACGTTAATCTTTACTAATTTCTTATGTAAGTTACTCATGTTTTTCTAGTTTATTCTCAAGATGATTTGAGATTTTAAGTTACTCTTCTTTTTCTAGTTTATTCTCAAGATGATTTGAGATTTTCTTGTTTGTAATTTTTTTTCTTTTTTTAAAGAATTATTTATTTAGTTTTATTTATTTTGATTTGACCAGAGAGAGACAAAGGGGGGGGGAGTGAGAAAGCAAGCCACCAGGTCCAGGACTCAAACCATGGTCTGCCATGTGGAAGTGTCCAGCGCCTTTACCACCACACCACCTGCTGGTTCCATGTTTGTAATGTTGACATTACATATTTCTGTCTAAGCACTGCTTAACTATATGCCATAAGATTTTTATGTTTTTTTTTCAAACAAAATGAGAAATTTCTCATAAATTCTTGTTAAAATAGGAATATATTGCTTAATTTCAACATATTTGCAATATTTCTGTATTTCCTCATGTTCTAAATTGCTAATTTAATCTCATTATGATCAGAGAATATTATTTCTGTGATTTCAATCCTTTTAAGTGTGTGAGGGAACTTCGAAAAGTCAACGAAAAAAGAGAATTAAAGCATGAGAGTATGAGTGTAGGGGCTACCTGGCATGGTGGTTAAAGCACTAGTTAAGGCCCACATGGCCAACCACAGTTCAAATCCTGGACCAGGCAACTTAGAACTCACACCAGTCACATATGCATATGTGCCCAAAAACTCAAGAGAAGAATGGAGGAGAGGGATTGTGGTGTGACCATCCCCCTGGGAGGTGATTTCCTGCTTTCTGTTTCTGTTTCTGTCTCTCTGGCAAGTGTATGTAATCCTATAAAAAACAAACAAACAAACAAACAAAAACTCTCAGGAACTAGCAGTTGGCATAATGGCTGTGTCGCTGGACTTCCATGTAGTCGACCATGGTTCAAGTCTCAGACCCAGTGACTTAAAACTCATGCTGGGGATGTGTGCATGCGTGCCCAAGATCCCGAGAGGAGAATGGATGAGAAGAGATTGCGGTGTGGCTAGCCCCCTGGGGGTGATTTCTCTCATTCTTTCTCAGTCTCTGTCTTTCTGGCAAGCGCACACTCCCTATTGCAAAAATCTCTCAAAAAAAAAAAAACAGAAAAAGAAAAAAATCTCTCAAAAAAAAAAGAATTGGTATTAGATATTCTTTATTTTAAGAATTATTTATTTAATTTTATTTATTCATTCATTTATTTTGATTTGACCAGAGAGAGACACAGAGAGAGAGAGAGTGAGAGAGCAAGTCACCAGGTCCAGGACTCAAACCATGGTTGGCCATGTGGAAGTATCCAGCACCTTAGCCACCATGCCACCCGCTGGTCCACATGTATTAGATATTCTTTAATAGATTTGTAAACCTTAACAGTAAAATTTCCAGATCTGGGTTTTTCTTGGGATTTTTATTATTATCATTATTATTATTACTGATTCTTGTTACTTTTTACTCTTCAAGCTTCCTATTTCTTTTGAATTCAATCTTCGTATATTATATGTATTCAGTAACTTATCCATCTTATATAGGTTTTCTAGCTTTTCTGGCATATAGTCATTCATAATAGTTTCTGATAATCTTTTGGGTTTTATTAGTATTGGGTGTAAGGTCTCGTTTTCATTTCTGACTTAGTTTAATTGGATTTTCTTTTTTTTTGTCCCTGAGTCTAGTTAGTGGTTTGTCAATTTTGTTTATTCTTCAAAAACAAAGCAACTTTTCTTTTTATCAAATTTTTGGAATCGACCCAAGAAGATGTCTCCAAGGCACATCATAGCCAGATAAGCCAGAACCTCAGACAAAGACAAGATACTAAAACTGGCAAGAGAGAAACAATTATCGCATCAGGCTAACATCAGAACTCTCATTGGAAACAATGTAAGCAATGAAAGAATGGGAAAATATATTCAAAATGTTAAATGAAAAACAATTTCAACCAAGAATACTATTTCCAGCAATATTATCCTTCATATGGGAAGAAAAGATAAAATCATTCTCAGATAATCAAGACCTGAAAGAATTTACCAACATCAGACCAGCTCTTCAAGAAGTTCTGAAGGGAGCACTATACCAGGAAAATTAAAGGCAGACAAACAGAAATAAGAACAAAAAATGACCAAGAAAATGTCCAACTTAATGGTAGGGACAAGTCCGGAAATATCAACAATAATGTAGAATGATAACTTCCAGGATTTAAATGGAAAGATCAGACCACAGTAACACTACAGATTTAACATAAGAGACATTAATAACATGATACTGAATTGGTGAAATAAAATTCTATGACTTTTGACTAAAATATTACTGATTTTCTTCTATGCTTTGTCTTTCACATTCAAAATTTTTTCCCTTTAATTTTTTATTTCAATTTCTTTTGTACATTCAATCACATGTTACTTAGCTTGCAAAGTGAATATTCCAACATGTGTAAATTTCTCCCCGGTCCAGTTAACAATACTATAAAATTATCTTCAGTAGGGACCAGCAGTTAACGTAATGGCTATGTCGCTGGACTCCCA